GGAAATCCAAGAGGGTCCTCACACCATCGGTGCTCGGGCCCTAAAAATTGATAAGCAATTACTTCCATCACTGTTCAGCTCTTAAGTCAGTGGAAACACAGATCAATTCTGAGAAAAGTTCACAGAATCCAAGGCTGAGCAGCATTGCAGTGAAAAAGGGGTAGTAACGTTCATTTTTGTTACAGTTCATGCAGTAATTCTTTGATGGATGACAAGGCCATGCATTCAAAATCACATTCAGATAACAGAAGTTAGTTTTGGGACTAAAGACAATAAAACATGGCAGCTTTGAAGAAGGAATGGACTGGTTGAAGATGGAAAGTGCACTGGAGATGAGTGTGTTAGCAGTTAGGCTTCTTATTGCAGCTCTGTGTGGCATCAGAAAGGTGTGTCCACCACATCTGAGAGGGGTTACCTGCCATAGACGTCATGCTGTGGCTAAACATCCCCATGGGGGTCGGGGGAGGTACTACCCCCATGAGCGCCCCTACTGGGGTACCTGCTCTTGGGGAGTTCTGATGCGCTGCTCTTTCTCGCTCCTGCTGCTCCGCTACCTTTGCTGCCCGCTCTGAAAGAATGGCAAAAGATAAAAACAATTTAATGTTTCATGGAGAACCTAGAGACACAGTATCCCATGCATCAGTGGCCACAGATGATTTCCAGGCAAATTTCCAGCAAAATTCAACACTTCACCTTCGTACTCCGCTTTCTTAGTGGCCTCAAGGTTCCTCCACTCTGTGCCCACCAGTCGACTGAGTTCTCCAAAGGAGAAGTCAGGGTGCCGGGCCTTGATGACTGCTCTCATTTCACTGCTGAAGAGGATGTACCCACTCATGTTGATCTTCCTCTTTGCCCCCTCCTTCTTTGACAGACCCTTAATAGACTTTGGTGTGGACTGTGGAGAAAATCAGATACTGTTCATTTAGTCTTGGCCTTAGACAGCATGCATAAAGGCTGCTCACGGTACTTTTGATTCATCCATCCATCCATCCTCCAAACCACTTATCCTCTGTGGGGTCATAGGATTGCACAAAATTGGCAAGAACGTTTCGAAAGCCCAAGTTTTAATATGATTGACAGGATTAGGGAAGGCAGCTTTACAACATAGCTTGTATGATGACTGTTTTCACGGAAGAACTAGTCAGTAGATTTGAGCTACTTCTTTTCGGCAAGCCGGGCTGTTATTGCGCAATAATTGATTTCAGATTAACAAAGCTGTTTTAGTGCCACATTAAAATGACAATAAAAAAGCCCTGAGATTTTGAGAATAAACTAGTAACATTTCAAAAATAAAGACTTAAAGGAATAGTTCACCCACAAATGAGGACTTTGTCATCATTTACTCATCCTCAAACCTGTACGACTTTGAGGAATGCAAAAGGCATCTTTCTTGTCTATAAAATGGACGTGGTCACCAAAAATGTTTGGTTACCAATATTCTTCAATAAAACTTATTTTGTGCTCTGCGGAAGAAAGAAAGTCATTCAGGTTTAGAATGATATAAAGGTGCAGTCACATTAGTAAAATCTTGGCAAAATTTTGTGGCAAAAAAGTCCCTTATCAATAGTGTATTTCCACATGTGAAAACTCAATTAAACAATGGTAAATCGACACTATTCACAAAACATTACTCTTTTTAAATCTTTGTTTTTTCATGTTTTACTGTAGCACCTTAATGTCACTTAAAAAAAAAAAGACAAACTGTGGCTGGACAGTTTACGTGTCTCAAGTTGGCAGTTTTTGACAAGAATAAGCGCCAAAATGGACCAGACATTATGCAGTGAGAAGTCTTGCTCTTCAAGACTAATGATTATCAGATAATGCAGCCAGTTACAATGACAACTTCTACAAGATCAGACCCTTCTGAGATCAGTGGTTTTCCAAGTCTAAATCAACAAGGTCAAACAATGATTTTCCTTCAACAACAGCTTACTGCAGACCTGCGGGGGAGCATAATGCAGCATGTCCATGTCACTGGTCAGCTGAGTCTGAAGCTGCGGCATGCAGTGAGCATCAGAGCCGTCCCCATCATCATCACCCAAATCCTCCAGCTCTTCATCCGTCATGTCTGCAAACTTGGCCTCCAACTCCTTGATCTTCTTATCCAGCAGTGGAGACGGCTCCTTCTGAGGCACTATGAGCTTTCTGACAGAGATAACCAAACGCATGAGTCCAACGTCCAATTTTAGGACAGAAACGAGCAATCCATGTTGATATCATCAGCTTTCATTGCTATACACTAAAGTCTGTTTCTTACGTACATCAATTATTATCATTATTTTTTAATTTGGATTACTTCAGTAGTCAACAAGAATGAAGCAACTGACCGAAAGTAATAGATTTCATCCTCAACTACTTTGGCAGAGAGAGAGAAACGTTTCAGCCCTTTAAACTTCTTCATTTGCTTCTCGCTCTCTATGTAGCGGCTCTCACACAGCAACACATCCTCCTCCGGCATTTCAGTTGGCCGGCATGACAAAAAATCTTTGAAAGAAGACACTGTACACTTCCCTGAGGAAAAAAAACAAAAACAGTCCAGATGTGGGAGAAGACATGGTGATCAGATTTAATCAGGAAAACTAACAAATCACTTCATTTAATAACAGTCCTTTCAATGTAAATAACTCAGTGGCATTCTGTCTGGAGTCAATGTTCTTCAGTCAATCTCCTTGTAACCACTCAACAATGCAGTTGTAATGATGGAACTTAACGTTACCTCCAATACAGGTCAAAGGGCAGGTTTCTTCCAGGTTACTGAGGAAAACTTCCTTCTTGTAGAACATCTTAGTAGGTTCATGCTCAGTCTCCTCGGGATGGATGAAGATGGGGCCGAAAAAGTAGGCGGCTCCATCTCGCACCCACATCTTCTCTATCCTGTTACAACACAAATCCATTCATATATAAGGAGACGGTCATAAATCACAAATGCGTTCTGGTGGTGACAGTTTTCTGGTCTTGATGTTATGTTATGGACATGTTAGGAAGTGGTAAATGAGATTTGGCAGGGGCATCGCTACCGGGGGGAAAAGGGGTACAGAGTGCAATCCCTAGCGACGCCACTGCTTATGGCTACAGTGTGTACAGACAGAGATAAAAGAACCAAGAGGGTTCCGTATGCAGTGTTAAAAAGTCTGTTCACCCTTATGTTGTGTCACATCGAGTTTGGTAACATCAGTGACACAAAACATTGTTGGTTCTTGCGTATTTTGTAACCAAATGTGATGTCCAAGACTTCAGAAGATAGGGCTGCACGATTATGACAAAAATCATAATTGTCGATTATTCCCTTGAAATTGTAATTGCGATTATTAATTACGATTATCACAATTTACATTGAATGATGTTTATACCATTGTTTGATGCAACTGCATGCCGTATTTTTATATGAAAATAAACAAGCTGAAAACACTCGAACTGAAAAACCTTTAGTGCTTTTCTATAGTATTAAGCCTCCAATATACATCGGATTGGTTTCTTCTTTAAATTATAAAAAAGTAAAAATATGAATGGTATTATAATGTTATACTAAAACTCAAATTTAAATAATGGGAAAAAACCCATAAGATAACATGTAGAAAGAAAAAAACACATCTTAAGCACGCAGAATAACATAAGTGGACTTTCAGCGATTAATTGCCACTTTGAGCGATTACGTAATTGTGGCATCCATAATTGTAATCACGATTAGAAATTCGATGAATTGTGCAGCCCTACAAGTCATATTGAAAGGACAGTTCTGTCATTAATTACAATTCCAAACCCATGAGGCTTTAGTTAAGCTTCGAAACACAAATTAAGTTATTTGTGATATTTTTAATGAAACCTGATACATTTTTTTGTCCTTGTATTGAAACTCCATTCCACCAAAACGTTGATGCTTCTAAAAGTTCCAAAAAAATGTGTAAAAGTAATACATATGAATCGAGTTTAATCCGAGTTTTATTGGAATGGAAGTTCAGATTCATTAGTGCTTTGAAGATAAACAAAATTCCTATGGGTTTGGAACGACAAAAGGGTGAGTAGATGACAGAATTTTCATTTTTGGGCGAATGTGCCCTTTAACTACTTGTATAGTGCCCTTCTGGACTTTTCAAAGCACCACAATATGAACAACACAGCGACTCGTCATTGGTCCCCTACCTGCCCACGCGGTTGCGTACGAGCCCATGAGAGCGGATATAGACACAGTCTCCCACTTTCAGCCACATGTCGTTGTAGCAGAGCTGTTCATAGTACTGGCAGCCTGGCTCTCCATTACTGACCTCCGTGGTAACATCCTCCCTCTCCTGAAGACACAGATTGATGGTGAGGAAACATATGTATATATATTCAATATATAGCAATGAATGTCATACCTTATCAATAATAGATGGTACAGCTTTGCCATCCTCTGCCACCTCAGGAGGCTTCTCACTGTCCTGCTTGGGTGCAAACATGGAGGCCACACGAACCACAGGCAACGGCACTTCACGTAGGACAAACTTTACTGAGCTCAAGGGCATCGTCCACATCTTGATCTTTTTGAAGGACTTGGTTTTCGCAGAATAACGAGACTCGCAGACAAAAACATCTTCAGGTCTGAAGCTGTCAGGCTGAAGCTTGAAATACTCCTGCAATCAGATATAATGTTTTTAGTTTAATTTAATGCTTTGTTTAGTAATGCAAAAATATGTTTTGTTTAATGAGATTGTTTTGGAATATATTACCTTCACAAACATCACGACACATTTGCCCAGTATTTTACTGACAGGAATTTTGTTGTAATAATCACTTTTGAAAACTTCTTTCTCAAGAAATTTGCGTGTAGCGAGATGAAATGTTTCGTTGGGTCTATAGAACCAGCAGCCATAAAGCCAGTTCTCTCCTTCATGAAAAAATACATACACATAGTTTAACAGCTACACTAATGTTCAAAAGTTTGGGGTCGGTATGTTTTTAAAGGCTGTATTCATTTAATTACAAATACAGTAAAACATTAATATTGTGAAATATTATTACAATTTAAAACAACTGTTTTCTATTTGATATTATTTTGAAATGTCATTTATTCCTGAGATGGCAAAGCTGAATTTTCAGCATCATTACTCCAGTCTTCATTGTCACATGATCCTTCAAAAATCATTCTAATATGCTGAATGTTCTAATATGCTCTAATATTCTTTGATGAATAGAAAGTTCAAAAGAACAGAATTTTTCTGTAACAATGTAAAAAGTCTTAACGGGCACTTTTGATCAAAAACTATTATTATTATTATTATTTTTTAATTTGCATTTTTGCTGAATAACAGTGTTAAAAACGTTAAATTCTTTTGACCCCAAAATCTTACTGACCCCAACATTTTGAATGGTACTTTATATTCTCAATCAACAGTGTTAAGGAACAATATATATGCCTAACTCATGTTGACACAGCATCAATTTAAGGTTTTATGAATGCAATACCTGCATCATCTTGCCAGAGGCGCTCTATGCAGACAATGTGCGGCTGCAGGTTTGGTTCTGTGGGTTCTACATAAACATATTCTCCCACATGGTACATGTTGTCTTTGAAGCTGCAGTCCTGGCTGTAATTGCGTTGTAGGGCTCCCTGCCATCCACCACCTGCTGTGTCCTCACTCTTCTCAGCCTCTGGAGATCAGTGTGAAAGATTAATCAACAGCCATTTGAACTACAAAATTTACAATTATTGGTAACTTGCACACTCCAAAGTTTAGAGAGCGACAACTGCTATAAACACAGGAGACAATTTCCTATGTCAATGGAATAAAGAATTCACTCCCAAAACTGTGACATAGATGAACCATAGATGGTATATCATGTATAACATAGTTTATCCTGTATGATTATGGTTCATGGTTACAATATGTTTGCCACTCTTGTAAATGGGACAATGGCAAGTAAGTGTGGCCAAAATAAAGAAATATATATATATATATATATACAGTATCTCACAGAAGTGAGTACACCCCTCACATTTTTGTAAATATTTTATTATATCTTTTCATGTGACAACACTGAAGAAATGACACTTTGATACAATGTAAACTGCACGATTATGACAAAAATCATAATTGTCGATTATTCCCTTGAAATTGTAATTGCGATTATTAATTACGATTATCACAATTTACATTGAATGATGTTTATACCATTGTTTGATGCAACTGCATGCCGTATTTTTATATGAAAATAAACAAGCTGAAAACACTCGAACTGAAAAACCTTTAGTGCTTTTCTATAGTATTAAGCCTCCAATATACATCGGATTGGTTTCTTCTTTAAATTATAAAAAAGTAAAAATATGAATGGTATTATAATGTTATACTAAAACTCAAATTTAAATAATGGGAAAAAACCCATAAGATAACATGTAGAAAGAAAAAAACACATCTTAAGCACGCAGAATAACATAAGTGGACTTTCAGCGATTAATTGCCACTTTGAGCGATTACGTAATTGTGGCATCCATAATTGTAATCACGATTAGAAATTCGATGAATTGTGCAGCCCTACAAGTCATATTGAAAGGACAGTTCTGTCATTAATTACAATTCCAAACCCATGAGGCTTTAGGTAAGCTTCGAAACACAAATTAAGTTATTTGTGATATTTTTAATGAAACCTGATACATTTTTTTGTCCTTGTATTGAAACTCCATTCCACCAAAACGTTGATGCTTCTAAAAGTTCCAAAAAAATGTGTAAAAGTAATACATATGAATCGAGTTTAATCCGAGTTTTATTGGAATGGAAGTTCAGATTCATTAGTGCTTTGAAGATAAACAAAATTCCTATGGGTTTGGAACGACAAAAGGGTGAGTAGATGACAGAATTTTCATTTTTGGGCGAATGTGCCCTTTAACTACTTGTATAGTGCCCTTCTGGACTTTTCAAAGCACCACAACATGAACAACACAGCGACTCGTCATTGGTCCCCTACCTGCCCACGCGGTTGCGTACGAGCCCATGAGAGCGGATATAGACACAGTCTCCCACTTTCAGCCACATGTCGTTGTAGCAGAGCTGTTCATAGTACTGGCAGCCTGGCTCTCCATTACTGACCTCCGTGGTAACATCCTCCCTCTCCTGAAGACACAGATTGATGGTGAGGAAATATATGTATATATATTCAATATATAGCAATGAATGTCATACCTTATCAATAATAGATGGTACAGCTTTGCCATCCTCTGCCACCTCAGGAGGCTTCTCACTGTCCTGCTTGGGTGCAAACATGGAGGCCACACGAACCACAGGCAACGGCACTTCACGTAGGACAAACTTTACTGAGCTCAAGGGCATCGTCCACATCTTGATCTTTTTGAAGGACTTGGTTTTCGCAGAATAACGAGACTCGCAGACAAAAACATCTTCAGGTCTGAAGCTGTCAGGCTGAAGCTTGAAATACTCCTGCAATCAGATATAATGTTTTTAGTTTAATTTAATGCTTTGTTTAGTAATGCAAAAATATGTTTTGTTTAATGAGATTGTTTTGGAATATATTACCTTCACAAACATCACGACACATTTGCCCAGTATTTTACTGACAGGAATTTTGTTGTAATAATCACTTTTGAAAACTTCTTTCTCAAGAAATTTGCGTGTAGCGAGATGAAATGTTTCGTTGGGTCTATAGAACCAGCAGCCATAAAGCCAGTTCTCTCCTTCATGAAAAAATACATACACATAGTTTAACAGCTACACTAATGTTCAAAAGTTTGGGGTCGGTATGTTTTTAAAGGCTGTATTCATTTAATTACAAATACAGTAAAACATTAATATTGTGAAATATTATTACAATTTAAAACAACTGTTTTCTATTTGATATTATTTTGAAATGTCATTTATTCCTGAGATGGCAAAGCTGAATTTTCAGCATCATTACTCCAGTCTTCATTGTCACATGATCCTTCAAAAATCATTCTAATATGCTGAATGTTCTAATATGCTCTAATATTCTTTGATGAATAGAAAGTTCAAAAGAACAGAATTTTTCTGTAACAATGTAAAAAGTCTTAACGGGCACTTTTGATCAAAAACTATTATTATTATTATTATTATTTTTTAATTTGCATTTTTGCTGAATAACAGTGTTAAAAGCGTTAAATTCTTTTGACCCCAAAATCTTACTGACCCCAACATTTTGAATGGTACTTTATATTCTCAATCAACAGTGTTAAGGAACAATATATATGCCTAACTCATGTTGACACAGCATCAATTTAAGGTTTTATGAATGCAATACCTGCATCATCTTGCCAGAGGCGCTCTATGCAGACAATGTGCGGCTGCAGGTTTGGTTCTGTGGGTTCTACATAAACATATTCTCCCACATGGTACATGTTGTCTTTGAAGCTGCAGTCCTGGCTGTAATTGCGTTGTAGGGCTCCCTGCCATCCACCACCTGCTGTGTCCTCACTCTTCTCAGCCTCTGGAGATCAGTGTGAAAGATTAATCAACAGCCATTTGAACTACAAAATTTACAATTATTGGTAACTTGCACACTCCAAAGTTTAGAGAGCGACAACTGCTATAAACACAGGAGACAATTTCCTATGTCAATGGAATAAAGAATTCACTCCCAAAACTGTGACATAGATGAACCATAGATGGTATATCATGTATAACATAGTTTATCCTGTATGATTATGGTTCATGGTTACAATATGTTTGCCACTCTTGTAAATGGGACAATGGCAAGTAAGTGTGGCCAAAATAAAGAAATATATATATATATATATATACAGTATCTCACAGAAGTGAGTACACCCCTCACATTTTTGTAAATATTTTATTATATCTTTTCATGTGACAACACTGAAGAAATGACACTTTGATACAATGTAAAGTAGTGAGTGTACCGCTTGTATAACAGTGTAAATTTGCTGTCCCTTCAAAATAACTCAACACACAGCCATTAATGTCTAAACCGCTGGCCACAAAAGTGAGTACACCCCTAAGTGAAAATGTCCAAATTGGGCCCAATTAGCCATTTTCTCTCCACGGTGTCATGTTACTCATTAGTGTTACAAGGTCTCAGGTGTGAATGGTGAGCAGGTGTGTTAAATTTGGTGTTATCGCTCTCACTCTCTCATACTGGTCACTGGAAGTTCAACATGGCACCTCATGGCAAAGAACTCTCGGAGGATCTGAAAAAAATAATTGTTGCTCTACATAAAGATGGCGTAGGCTATAAGAAGATTGCCAAGACCCTGAAACTGAGCTGCAGCACAGTGGCCAAGACCATACAGCGGTTTAACAGGACAGGTTCCACTCAGAACAGGCCTCGCCATGGTCGACCAAAGAAGTTGAGTGCACATGCTC